GCTCTCGATAGCTCCTTCCTTTTTATGTTTGGCTTCAATAGCATTGATTACACTTTGTACATTCTTCCTGCATCTAAGGGCACAGCCTTTCTTTTGAAGAAACTTCTATCCAATCCCTTTTATGTGCCTTTCTCATCCTGACCAAGTCCAAGAAATACTTTTTTCTCCTGAAAACTCTTTGTGCCTGGGTTTAAAATTGCTTCCTATTTTTAACTTATTTGGGTCAAAATCAGGAAGTCATCCTACCATTTTCTTTGTCATAATCTTTCAGCTCTTTCTGCTTGGATTATCCTTTCTGTCCAGAGTGGTCTTGAGCTTATTTGCCTCCAGAACTGGGCCTCTCATCATCAGAGCCTTGCACTGCTCAAACCTCTTAGGTAGCCTTCCCCTTAGTCCCGCAGTAGTACTGCTGTCTGGGGTTGAACTCTTCTGGTTCTGGGCTCCCTAGTCCTTTGTGATGTTTGGTCTCATTTCCTTCCCATCACTCCCAGACTCCAAGAATATTAACCTTCTCTCTTTCTGAATAATTTAAAGATGAGAGAGAAGAGACTTTTATAGTTTTGAGACTTCCCTGGTGGACTACCAGAGCTCCCTGCCTGATGTGCTAGGGTAGAATTTTAGTCACCAAGGACTATGATTGTTTAACATGAGATATCTAAAGCAATTATTAATTTCGATATTCTAGATTTCCACTGCTTCTTTAGTTTGTCCACTCCCCAAAAAGTATATTCAACTTTTCCTTTTATTTGTGGGACTCTCAATATCCCTAAAATTATCTTATTATTTATTTTGCTTATGATGAGCCTGTGATATGTTTATTCATTTATTAAAGTATCATCTAATTGTGTTCATTATACTCTAATAACCTTTTGTACCTATTTTTGTTATCTTTATTTATTTTATAGTTTTTGTTACAGTTATGAATGGATTATCCCTTTCCCCCCTTTTCCGTTTAAGCTGTATATTGAAAATATAGGGACATTTGTGTGTTTATTCTCTGTCTCTGCAATTTAATAAACTCTCTTATTATGACCAGTTATTTGAAATATGGAATATTTAATTGTGCTTATTTTGCCATATCAGCAAATGAAGGTCCTTCACTGGGTAAAGGCCTTATTCTATCCTCACCCCTCTTGTAGACTTTGCTTTGAGGAGACAGTTCTTCCCCAGTCACATCTCAAGGCCTTCCAACCTGAAAACTCATCCTCTAACACTATATCCAACAACATTCTCCTCTAGTCCATCGAGTTTTATTAGTCAGTCGTAGTCTGTAAGCTCTGCTGAAACCTGTCCACCCTCAGAGACCCTGCTGGTAACTTTAATACTGGTGGCATACATTTTAGTGTTACAGGAACACACAAGCCACCATAGTACTAGAAACTCACAGATGACATCAAGGACGTCATCCATGACGAAAATATTATCACAAAAATAAGGACATAATTAAAGATTGAGAATGATGTCAGAGGAGACTATAAATCTTGTGTTGGAATGAAAAGAAGCCAAAAGAAGGGGAAGGGGTGGTGAGGTAAGAGTTGAACAGAACATTTCAAAGGGCAGCTCAGGAAGACAAAGCAAAGTATAATAAAGAATTGGGAAAGAAACAAGTGAGAAAACTAAAAGAACATGTTTTGCATTTCTCAAACTGAAATACTTGAATAACAAAATTCAAACCTTGAGTTACAACACTGAAGTATTCCCTGGGCAAAATCTTAAATGATGTTGGAATCACACAAAGAAGGTGGGAGGCCTGCATAGTCACTCTACCAAAACTAAATTGGTTGGCACTGAATCATTTCAGAAAGTTGCATATGAAAAAGAACAAACAGTACTGAAGGACGGAGTCTTAACTGCAGTGAAGGCATTGGGAGAAAAAATGTCCCAGACATCGAGGCGTTTCAGCAAACATGCAATTCTGGACATGCTCATCATTCTTGGCCAACAAATATTGCAGACAGCTACCTGGGCAACTGGCTGAAAGAAATCCATCTTTGTTCTTTTTCCCAAGAAAGGTGTGGAAATTATCGAACAATAATAATTCTACAAGTAAAATTTTGTTGAAGACTATTTTTTTTTTTAAAAAACAGCCCAACAATAGTTGGAACTACCAAAAATTCAAGCTGGATTAAGAAAAGGTCATGGCACAAGGGATATAATTTCTGATGTCAGATCTATCTTGGTTCACAGCAGAAAAACTAAGAAAGAGGTTTACTTGTGCTCTATTGACTATGCAAAGGCATTAGGCTAAGTGGACCATAAAAAAAAAAAATTATGACTAACATTGAGAAGGACAGGAATTCCAGAACACTTAACTATGCTCATGTGAAACCTTTACTCAGATCAAGCAGTAGTTGTCTTGCGGCTCCAAGTCGTCCCAGCGCCGGGAGCCGCTGGACCGGAAGCTGGACTCACGGCTGCGCAGCCGAGGCGCCTGCGAGGGGCGCGCGTCCAGAGTGCACTGCGGCACAATGGGCGTTGTGCACTCCGTGTCCAGGGAGGTGCGCGAACTCGAGGGCAAGACCGGCTTCTCCTCCGACCAGATTGACCATCTCCATCGGAGGTTTAAGAAGCTGAGCAGAGACCAGCCCACCATTCGCAAAGAGAACTTCAACCGCATCTCCGACCTGGAGTTCAACCCGATCCGATCCAGAATCGTCCGTGCCTTCTTTGACAACAGAAACCTGCGCAGAGGGCCCAGCGGCCTGGCCGAGGAGATCAACTTCGAGGACTTCCTGACCATCATGTCCTACTTCCGGCCCATCGACGTCTCCATGGACGAGGAGCAGGTGGAGCTGTGTCGGAAGGAGAAGCTGAGATTTCTGTTCCACATGTATGACTCCGACAGCGACGGGAGGATCTCACTGGAAGAATATAAAAATGTGGTAGAGGAGCTGCTCTCAGGAAACCCCCACATCGAGAAGGAGTCTGCTCATTTCGTCGCAGAAGGGGCCATGATGGAGGCGGCCAATGTCTGCGTGGGCCAGATGGAGCCAGACCAGGTGTACGAGGGGATCACCTTCGAAGATTTCCTGAAGATCTGGCAGGGGAGCGACATCGAGACCAAGATGCACGTCTGCCTCCTGAACGGGGAGACTATGGCGCCGTGCCACTGACCGGCCACCCATCCGTCACCTCTCTGCAGTGGGGATGCCCCACGTCTCCTTGAGCAGGGCGGCCATGGGTGGACTTCAGCCACAGCCCCTGTACACCTCCACCTGCCTGTCAGCTACCTGGCTCTCCCCGTGCTCCTGTGGGCTGGGCTAGGGGGAACACTCCTGTTTTTACCTCGAATAAAATGTGAGTTTGTTAATGGGAAAAAAAAGTGGTTGTCTAAACACAACTAGGGAACACTGCATAGTTTAAAATGAGGAAAGCTGTGTATCATGATTGTATCCTTTCTTCATACCTATTCAATCTGTAAGATGAACAAATAATCCTAGAAGCCAGACTATGAAGAATGTGGCCTCAGAATTGGAGGAAGACTTATAAAGAACCTATGTTACACGAGTGACACACCTTGCTTACAGAAAGTTAAGGAGACTTGAAGATGATCAAAGAGTATAGCCTTCAGTATAGGTTATAGCACATTAAGAAAACAAAGCCCTTCACCATTAGATCAGTAGGCAGCATCATAATAAATGGAGAGATTAATGTTGTAAATTACTTCATTTTACTTGGTTCCACTCTGTTAATAGCAGTAGTCAAGAAATCAGAATATTTTCATTGAGGAAGTCTGTTGTCAAGGACCTCTCCAAAGTTCTTAGCAAAGGTATCAGCTTAAAGACTAAAGTGTGCCTGAACCAACCCTTGGTAATTTCAGTTGCTTCACATACACCTGAAAGTTGGATAATGAATAAGACAGACCAAGAAGATGCAATGCTTTTGAATTGTGGTAAAATATTACTGAATTTACCATGAATTTCCAAAAGAGCAAATAAGCCTGTCTTGGAAGAAGGGCAAAGCAGGGTGGTCCTTAGAAACGAGGGTGGTGAAACTTCATCTCACCTACATTTGTTATATTTTCAGGAGGAGCCAGTTCTTAGACACATAATGCTGGGAAAGGTCGAAAGTAGGAAAAAGAAGCAGACCCTCAACAAGGTGGACTGATGGCAGTAACTGTAAAATGGCCTTGAACATGGTGGAGATAATGAGGATAGTTCAGGTTAGAAAGGGTTCAGATCTGTTGTTTCTACGGTCAATTTGAGATGTAGCTGACAACACAATAACAACAATCAACAATTTATAATTTCTCCTCATAGAATCTCTTAAGTTCTAAAATATAGCTTGCATGAAAAAATAATATTCTTGGTCAGTATAGTGCAAGAAAATGTCAGTCTGGAAGGCACTCAAAATGTGACTTGGGAAGAGATACCTTCTTAAACTAAAGTCCACTTTAATGAAATAGAGAAGCTTTCACTCTTTCAGGTAACTGAAGGGCCTTTGTTTGCCAGGGTGGTAAGATTCAAAATGAAGAGAATCTGCTACAAACATCCTTTAATAATTGGAACATGAAATGAACAAAGTATGAATCTAGGAAAATCTTTAAAAGTGCCTGTAGGCATTGATTATTTTATGCAAATTAGCATCACCTGTTAGATGAGTGAGTGATGCACTCATCACTCATTATGATTGTCAAATCTTAAGAAAACATTGGTGATTTGAGACCCTGTTCTGTTCCAGTCCAGTTCAACTGCCTCAGCCCTGAGTGATGATGGAGTGAAAGTCCCTCACAGGAAGCCAAGATCCTCATCTCGGATTATTTTATGACATATACCCCTAATCAAGCATCTCTTCATTATCTTTGGCCTTTGTAGATTTTATTTATACTTTGAAGGTCAGGTGAGTACTTGCATTTAATTGAAATGCAATTTTATCAAGTTCTCTGTGCCTATAAAAAGATTTCTTTTTTAAAGGAGATTTCTCTATTAATTTTATCAAGTTCTCTGTGCCTATAAAAAGATTTCTTTTTTAAAGGAGATTTCTCTATTTCCTGGGCAGAATCACACAGCTTTTTCTAACCCACACGTACACTTTTGTTGCCTTATCATCCTCTGTAGCGCTGCCTTCACCTCCTGATTCTTGAGGCTGTAGATGACTGGGTTCAGCAAGGAGGTGATCACACTGTACTGAATGGAAACCACCTGCTCCAATATGGAGCCTGAAGTAGGGCTTAGGTACCTGAAAAAAGTTGTCCCATAGAACAAGAGTACAACAGTGAGGTGGGAGGAACAGGTAGAAAAGGCTTTGCCTTGACCCTTAGAGGAGCCAATTCTTAATATGGCAGAGATTATTCTGGAGTAAGAAAAGAGAATCAGGGGAAGTGTTAACAGTCCCATAAATGCACATGATACAGCTAGAAGAATCTCATTGGCAGTAGGATCATTGCACGATAGTGGGAAGAGTGGAGGCAGCTCACAGCTGAAGTGAGGAATAATATTAGATCCACAAAAATGTAAATTGTGGATGAAGAGACTGTTTATCAAGGATATTAGACATCCTACTGCCCATGCTATGCTCACAATTAAAATGCAGATGGGTCTGTTCATGACCACAGTATAGACCAGAGGGTGGCAGATGGCAGCATAGCGGTCATAGGCCATAGCAGAGAGCAGACAGGCTTCAGTTCCTCCAGAGAGAGTGAAAAAGAAACTCTGGGTGATGCAGCCCCACACTGAGATATTCTTTTTCTGAGACAAGAAGTTCTGTAGCATCTTGGGCACAGTGACTGAGGAGAAGCACATGTCCAGGAAGGACAAATGTCCAAGGAAGAAGTACATTGGTGTGTGAAGGTGGGAATCAGCCTTGATCACAAGGATCATCACCAGGTTCCCTATCAAGGTCAGGAGGTAAATCACCAGGAACAATATGAAGAGCACAACTTGAATCTGGGGGTCACTAGACATTCCCAGGAGGACAAATTCAATAATGGCACTGTCATTTTTCATTGTTGCTTAGGACTTCTTTACCTTAATAGAGATAGATGGTTCTCCACTTGGTTGGACATTGATATTAGTAATTTTCAATCAACAGAAGTTTTTTATTCACAAGACAACGTATGTTCTCACCTATAGACCAAAATGGGAAACAAGATAAGTGTCTTCTCTGCTACAATTTCTTTTCTTACTCATTTCTGCCTTCTGGCATTGTTCTGTCATGATCACTATACTAACATCCTACTTCATGAACATTTAATAATTATACTCAGTGCATACAAATCAGATAGACTTTGGAGTTAAAGCAAGGGAATCATCTTAGCAGCAAAGCAGTGGTTAAGGGCTGGGAAGCCATGATAAGGCCCCTGGGAAGATGATAGTAATGCTGTTGTGAAGATATTCTTTCTCATAATGGACTTCAGATTCTTCATTTTGCAAACCAGGAGGTTGTATTGCTTAAGGTCTCACAGTTTACAGAGGCCAAGGCTACACTAAAACCAGACATTCTAACTAAAATGGTACACATCCCCAGTGCATCACACAAGGGGGCTATCAACAAATATTTTTTAATAGATTGTTTTGAAATGATTGCTAGGACTGAGTCTTATATGATTTGGAGGGTCAGCTGCAATTTCACAAGTAGGAACCTTGTTTAAATGATACAGCAATATCATTTAAATTAGAAATTCATACAATGATTTCTGTGTCATCTGCTATTGAAGTGGGAAGAGTCAGAATCTCATTTTGAATTCTGGCCCATACATATTAGCTGTATCACTGGGGAGGAGCTACTTGATGTTTTTGTTGTTGTTATGTGCTGACCAGTCAGAACTGACTCATAGCTGACCCTCTAGCAGGTTTCCAGAAGCTGTAAATCACATGGAGGAGATTGATCATTTTTCTCCCACAGATCAGCTAGTGGATTCGAACCTTGGTCCTTTGGGTTGGCAGGGCAACTCCTTACTACCAGGCCAAGGGAGCTTTGAAAATATTAATTTGTAAAATTAGGAAAATAAAATAAGTACTCTGATAAACCATGGCATGTTCTACAAAAAGAAAATTTCTATATGTATTAACACAGATTGACATAGAATATTAAAAGATGGAAAATATTTTTTCTTTTAGGCTTATGAGAACTTTTAGTCTTTTAAGTAGCTTCTCTACTATAAGATTGTTTTTCCATTGTATAGGGACCTCTGATGGAGTAATTCATATAGAGTTGCACTGTTAACCCAGAAGTCATGCCTCTCTGGCTTTTTAAATCATCCAGCCACTCCTCAGGAGAAAGATGGGAAATCAACTTCCATGCAATTTAAAGCCTCAGGAAACCTGCTGAAAAGGGTGCTATATGAGTTGAGTATTTGGAATCAATGACAATGAATGAGTGATCTTTTTTTAGGGGAGTAAAGAAAAGATCTGATCACCCTCCCCTGACTCCAAGTTTGGTTTGTTTTTTTTCCAAAAGAAAAGGCAAAGGAGAAACAAGATTAAAGTGAGAGAAGAGCCACAGAGTAAGGAATGCTGAACTCTTTAAAAGCAAATTTTCATTGTATCTACTCTGAAAGGCATCTCAATAGTTTCATTCTACTTGGCTGCTTAGACTGACTGCATTATATCCCATAGATACCCATCACACCTCGGATGATTCCAGAACATTACTAGAGCAATGTCATTAAAGTATGTTAAGTGGAACTTTACAAATTCTACCATAGTGTTTTATGAGCAATCGGAAATGTCAAAGAACTTCATGAAGACTGATGGGGCATCTTTGAGCCTGCATGTTCATCTCAATTGTCTCTACTCCTATTATCTATGTAATTGTACCTGGTTTTGGTGGTAGCATTTCACTAAAGCTAAGGATTCTATTACTAAAAACTTTTGAAAATCAGTAAAATGGAGATTGAATGAATGACCAAAAGAAATACAAATCTTTCTCCTCATTATGTATCCTTTTCATTTCGAGTCCATCAGGGAATCTCTTACATACATCCAGCTGTACAGCTGATAAAACTACATGCTATATCCTCTTAAAAGGAAGGTCTAAATTTTTTTTTGTCCAGAATTTGATTAATGAAGAAATGAAACAGAAATAACCCCAAATGAAGCAAAGGCTTAGCCTCCTCGCTTAGTCACTTTCTAACTAGAGATATCAGTATCTGAGTTTAAGAAAGATACTCCCCTAATCTGGGTATAGCAACCGATCAATCTGTGTCAACTGTAAAACGAGAAGCTCGGACCAGATAGTTATACAGTTTCCTCTCAGTTGTATATATTCATGTGCCTCTGGGTCCCTCTCACCAACCTTACAGAGCAGGATTGTTCTGGGCTTGATGAGTCTTCAGAACTTTGAATCAGGTTGTTGCCACAGGGAACTGTTTCTAGAAAGAGACCAGGGTCCAACAGCTAGAGATGAGAGCTTCCAGTGACAAGTACAGGCAAGTAGCAGTGTTTTGGGCTCAGATGTGGGCCCTTTTAGAGCTGAGTCCCTTATGACTTAGATTTCTGCCCCCCTCTCTTTTTATCCCCTTGGGTCTGAGGAGAAAGATCCTGGCCAGTTTGTGTGACTTGTATTTCTTCATTCATCGAATTCCTGGCATCTTGTACCAGGCAAGCCCTGGGGAGGGTTGGGGAGAAAGAACTCCAGAGAGTCAGGAACTGTTCGATGCTCCTGAGAGTCAGCATTAGCCAGAGTTAAAGGGGGTCACTGGAAGAGATTGGCTACTGAGATGGCAGTTGCTTGAAGAGATTTAGCTGAAGATTCAAGAGAACAGCAATTAAGCTCCTGACTGCAAATTGCTTTATGCATTTAAGAAGCAGATGATCTGGAGGTGCTGTGGAGGACTTACCTTCTTTCTTCTTGCTCTGGAATTCTGAACGTGAAGGTTTATAAGCACATGCACACATACAAGTATATACAATTTTAAAGTTTTATTTCTTTGTGAAGTCATATACTTTTTATCCTCCCCTTTCTTCAGTACTTAGTTCGGACTTTAAAGACAAATGTTCCCTTCTCTTGTTGTTGTGTGTGTTTTCCCCCCCTCTAACAGGATTTTGTCACTTTTGCTTCTTAAGTTTTTCCCCATTTGAAAATATAATAGCTAGAATTGGTAGTCCTTCCTGCTTTAGAGAGAATTGGCTTCCCTATGAATAGCTGGTTGTCTAGATGATGTCAGAGAAGGGCCTATATGTTAAGGAAACATGATTAATCTAGAACCAACAAAGTGTTGTATCAAAACTTTGGTATACTGCTGAAAACTAGAAGTTACTCCTCTGTGACAAGGGCCTAGATGGAGACTGACAATCTGCTTTGAAAAGATTACTTCACTGTCTCCCTATATCTAGTGCTAATTTTGAAAAATAACCTAATATTCTTTTTCCTTTCTTCATCTTTGGAAATGTTTATAAACATTTAGAATATATTATTTGCCCTTGAAGTTCTCACATTTCATTATTAAGCATCTACATGTGTTTTTTCAAATATACTTATCCTGAAGACCCTGGATGAGGTGAATTGACATAGTGACTGGAGTATTGGGAACAGATGTGTCAGAGACAGTCAGATTGGCTTGGACTAGGGCAGGATTCTGAGCTATTGCTCATAGGATTGTTATGAGTCACAAGTGACTTGACAGTACATAACAATGACAACAACAACATCCTGGGCTCAAGTGTGTTGATGATGATGAGGATGGCATAGGACAGGACAGGGTTCAGATCTCTTGATCACAGGATCACTATTAATTATGTATGACTTGATTGCACCTAACAACAACAATTTGCACCATGATACTAGTAAAGAATTATTTATTGTAAATTATTTTTAAGCTATGTTCATGATAATTTGATTTTAGTTGTTGCTTGCTGAAGGCAAGGAGGATTTGAATCACTTGCTGCAGAAGATCAAAAACTATGGTCTTCAACATAGACTGCATTTCAACATCAAGAAAATATGTTTTTTTAAAAAGGAAACAAAAATCCTCACACTGGGCCAACAGGCAACATTATGATAGATGGAGAAAAGTTGAAATTGTCAATGATTTAATCTTTCTTACATCCACAATCAACCTCGTTGGTACCAGCAGTCAACAAATCAGAAGATGTGTTACATTGGGAAAATCTTTTGCCAAGGACTTCTCCAAAGTGCTATGGAGAAATGATGTCAGTTTAAAGAAAAAGGTGTACCTGATTCAAGCCATAGTGTTTTCAGTCACTTGCTATGTAGCTGAGAGCTGGACAGTATATAAAAATTACAGAAAATTAATCAATGCCTTTGAGTTGTGGTGTTGGATAAGAATTCATGGACTACCAAAAGAACAAACAAGTATTCTTGGAGAAAGTATAGCCTGGGTGCTTCCTAGAGGCAAGGATGATGAAATTTCATCTTAAATATTTTGGGCATTTTGTTAGCAGGGGCCAATATTTGGAAAAAGACATCATGCTTTGAAAGGTAAAGAGTCAGCAAAAGAGAGGAAGACCCTCAAAAAAACGGTCAACACAGTAACTGTAATAATGGGCTCAAGTATATCAGAGATGATGAAGATGACACAGGACAGGGCAAGGTTCAGATCTGTTGTTCCTAGGGTCACTCTGAGTTGTTTTAGATTTGACAGCATATAACAACAACAGAAACAACAAATAGTAATAACAGTGAGCTGTGTACATTGAAAGTATAAAAATATATATATAATGAAACTATCATTATGTTCAAAATAAGGAGTATTTTCATTACCCTCAAAATGGTGGATTCTCATTGATTATTTCTTTAATTACCTCTTTGCATTTACTCTATTTCTCTTATTCTGGAATAGTTGCTAAATAAGAATTGGAAGTTGTACTTTTATTCTTAACAAGTTGGCTCAGGATAGATAGAGCAGGGTCCAGAGCTGTTGTACATAGGGTCGCTGTGAGACACCAGCGACTTCACAGCACATAGAACAATCATATATTCCTTTTAAACAGTTCTTTCCTTCATCTGTTCCAATGTGATATTCATTATTGACTTTTCATTTGTA